TTATAGTGGCCGACGCTTTATCTCGTTGTATGACCCAAACAGACAATGTCGTGTTTGAAAGTCCTGATAAGGAAGATCCACACTTCCCATATGTTCAAGACTCCCCTGGACACATTCGACTCTCGAATGGTCAGCAAATATCAGATTTGTTAGGCAACAATGACAATACTATGGCCTCTACTACCATTGGTGATTTGGTTAACAGTGGTGACCACAAAGGACGCGAATCAAACTTTGTCACTGCCCTACTGCTACCAGTGGCATTGATTGTGGATATGATGGGAATACAGATGAATGTTCTGTTGAGCAGGGAAGTTCTGGTGTAAAACGTCGACCACACTTGAACAATAGGAATAGCTGAACAGGTAGAAATGGAGTGAAACTGACCGGACCAAAGAAATTAAGAAAATTTAGCTGGGCTGCGTGGGAACATCGAACTCAAAGTGTGACTGAAACTGAACAAGAGGAAATATTGAACACTTCGAACATTGACCCTGTATCTCGGTCAGTGCCAAAGGACAAAGCCAGTGCCATAGGACAATACGCATGACCTACCAGTCCTGCGTTATTCTACCATCAGGATTATGTAGACAAAATAGATGCTCCAACAGATATGGATGTTAAGAATGATATTTATACAGACTGTTTAGAGGTTGATAACAATGTAAAATTATGGTTTGACTAAACTACAGAGATTGACTCAACTACTGAACCGGACAAAATTACTCCACAGGCCAGTGAGAGTTCCATTTCTGACGCAGGTAGTGTGTCAACGGAAAATATACAAAAAGTGCTTGAATTGGCATCTAGGCTCCACATGACGGAACATCAAATCGGAGAATTCTAGCATTTGGATCCGAAGTTAAAGCCGCTAATTGTATATTTACAGGAAGGCACGCTTCCGTCATCTCAGAAATTATCTCGTCAGATATTGTTAAGAGTCTATTGACTATATTTTAGTGAATAATGTCGTGCTTCATTCACGAATACCAAAGTCGCGGTTTGCTAAACAGCTTTAAGTGTGTCAACTGGTCGTCCCAGAGGTGTTACAAAAAAGATTATTCTTAATCTATACAACGACTCGTCATTTGCTTGCCATGGAGGTATCCAAGATATCATGTTGATAGACTTAAGATTGCCTTTGTCCGAAAACCACATCATCTTCCTTACTTTCTTGGCAAAGTAGACACTAGAGAACAGAAACCTCGTGTGGCAACACAGACTTCAGATATTAGGCCTGGTGCATTTGTGTCAAACAGCACCTCTCCATCATTACCAGAAGTCTCATCTGAGGACAATCTTCAGCTATCCGAGACAGCAACTTTGCAACAAGAACATCGACGCAAACTGCCTCCCTTGGCAAGACCTCGTCGGAATGCACCCAAACCTCAAAGATATTGTAGTGATGACAATGTGGCGAATATCCCTTCGGAAAGCTCAAGCAGTCAAGACGTCTATTCCAAAGTCAAAAAAGTGATAGGACAGCGAAAAAAGGATGGAAAAAACTGAATATTTAGTCCATTTTGCTGGGGAGCCTACACAAAACGCTACGTGGTTACCCTTTTCTAATTTAAATGTGAAGGTTCAAAGGGTTGCGAAACAAAATCCACCACCTACTTTGCATTGATGATTCATTAATTATTTGTTGAATATTCAGACTCGCTGTGGTGTTGTCAAACATATAGACTTTCATATTGATTCACTTGTTGAAATTTTCTATTGTGAGTAATTATCACTACAGGGTTATCAAATGGAATGTGTTCTGTTTCTAATGGTTGCAGTAATTATGTATATTTGTTTTTCTTTCAGCTTGACCTCTGTTATAAAAAAAGAGTTAGCAGTTGTTTCTACAGTATACATTTACATATTGGTATGTCTAATAGTTTTTTGGTGAATTGAATGATTTTTTTACTGTAATGAAACTTTATTTTTGTGGCGGATAAATAAGTATAATGTATTCTGGATGTACTCACTTGAGAATGAAATAACTTTGAATGTTGATTCATATTGTTCTGTGCAATTTCTATTATATTGTTGTATTTTTGTTTATAACTTTGGTATGCTTAATATAATGAATCAGATATCATTGGTAAATGTTTTTGTTTTTTGATAGTTATATTTCACTTTAATAATTTGCAATTTGATAGTTTGACAATATGAAATATTCTTGTGCAAAATTTTCCTTTAAAAGGAATTAGCCCAGAATTTGTCACTGAGGTCTCCAGGCTGTATAGAGAATATATGATTCCATGCTGTATGCATACAATTCCAGTTATTTTGTGATATGAAATTGGTTGTTTGAGAAGTATGAATGGTAATACATGTAGTTATCAATGGGTCATGATCATGTACCATATACGTAATGAATAAGATACTTAGTACTTGATAAACCATGGGTTATATTGAGGAGTATTGCTTGCCCAATTATGCTAACATATAAGCTCAATTAATACATTCATAACTTTGTATAACAAAGTTTCTTTACTATTCTATCATGAATTGTGAATTGTTAAGCTCTGATACCAAATATAAGGTTCTTTTTACAATTTCATGTCTCCCTTGTCTCACAATTAGCGGTTTGGTTTGCTACTAGTCATTTTATACTTTAATTGTATAGTATGACGATAGAAGTCCTAATTTGATTTGTTCGATGTGCTGATTTTCAAATTAATGCGTTCTTCATATTACTCCTTAAACATTTTTATTGCACACTTTTATTTTGTGGGCGGATGTTACGTATATGTTATACACAATGTGCACACTAGGGGAAGTAACTCCAAAATATATTGAGCAGAATTTGTGTTGATAATTCAAATACAACCAAAGCGTGATCCAAACCCAAACGAACAGCTGTCATTTACAAAATATAAACTTGCAGAGTCACAATTTTGTACCTTTCATTAATAAATGACCATTTAACAACAATTCTATTTTCTGTTGTGTTTTTTTGTGTGTAGTGGTTAACATGTACAACAAAACAAGCTGGAGTCCCTGAACATGTTACCTTGCTGACTCAAATATAAGTTACCTGTCTTCAAACCTATTGTTTGTACCACAGAATAGCAGAAACTTACCTGTAATGTGGATCATGGCGAAAGAGCAGATAATGCACATTACGATGTTGTTCACCATCTTGTGAACTGTTGGTAGCTTAAGTTCATAACACTAATGTCGCATGATGTACTCCCCTATATAAGCGGGCGTCTCTCTTTCTATTAGCTCTAGGCGAAGCTAGTGCCTTACACAGTCAAGAGGAACGAAATTGCACAAATGTTTTGTCAGGAAAGGCAACCTGTCTGTTTGATAACCGCGTAAACAAACGTAATCTGCGTCATAATATACGCATCATCACTATTGTCTATTTTCCACAACTTTGACCTTAAAATGACCTTAGCTGTTGATAGGACGTCAAACCTTATACAACCATAACTTTGTTAAGACAGCACACCGCATGGTCAGTCTGGTTATCTTAAAATATATTCAGTTGAAGACTTAGTTCTTTAGAATGTCATTTGTTACGTTTATTCTAATAAATCAGTACATTGAATGAATATTTTATTTATCCGATCATAAGTGATGTTTATTCTCAAGGAAATAACGACATAAATAATATAGCTTAATTACCTCAACTCTAATTAGTAATGACTTTGGTGAAAGACGTTCCTGTTTTACTAAATCCGGCTTTGTCTTGTTAAACAACCAATATCTTTCACGATAGGATAGTAAAATGTTAAAACTTTGATCTCAATGTTATATGACTGATAAGATGGTGCAGACTGTATCGTCACTCTCTGTTATTTTAACACTATATCAATACATCTAATTGTTAAAAGCCTTTCCAATATTTCTGACCTAGCTCTTTCTTTTGTGTCTTTCTTACAGTAATCCATTCAAATGAGTACGATTGGTGTATTTCCACCACAATGGAGTTAACCGTTACATAATGGGGGTATTTTCATGAATATCATCCTTATACAGATATAATCAAGAGGGGTGTTGTTTCTGATGCTGGCAAATTGAATCTGAATATCAATCATATTTAATCAGAAGCATTCATGGGAGGCAGGGATTCAAAATTGTACAATTGGCGTGGCTGACCCCCGTGGCGGTTGAGTGGCGGGGCCAAACAGGGGTATTTAGCTATATTACTCTAAGCGACTTCTTCTCTGGAACTAAGAGATAGTGATCAACTATATTTGACTGGAAGCATCCCTAGGTGGTGGGGATTCAAAATTATACAAATGGTGGGGCTGAGGGCTGGGCCAAAAGGTGGCAATTTTGCTCTATTGCTATAAACGACTTCTTCCGTAGAACTATACCATGGATATTGATCGTACTTGGTCGGAAGCATTCATGGGAGGCAGGGATTCAAAACTGTACAATTGGTTGGGCTGCACCCCCCACCCCCCGGGCTAAGGGTGGTCCCAAAAATAAAAAAATGCTCGGAAATGGTTGAGATCCCCACCATATAACCATATATACAATTGCTGAGTATACAGAGAGAAATGCACATTTGCTTCCAGGATGGCCCTAGGATCTTGCCCCACCCTTGGAGACTTAACCCCTGGGCCATAACGTTGAAACGGTTGAGAAACCCAACCCAAAACTTTATATACAAATGCTGGGCAATAGGAGACAAATGCAGTCATGATATTATAATTGATCCTGGGGTCTGGCCACAACCCTAGGGACCTAGTTTCTGAGTCACAGCTTGGAAACAGTTGAGATCCCCACCCCATAACCATACATAAAATTGCTGGGCATAACAAATCAAATACAGATATGCTACAAGGATAAGCCTTGGGGTCTGGCATATTCCCTTGGAGCTCATTTGGAGAATATTTTGCCATGATTGCTTAGATATCCAGGTGAGCGATACTGTTATTAAACTAAAAAACAAGTGATTTGTGGGTTGTTACTTGTTGTACTTTATGTTTCCTAACATTAAACTGTTTTCTTGTCTGAGTTAAAGTTCAATATATTTTAATAGGATTGCTGAGAAATCTTACAAAACCGCAAAGTTTTATAGGTAATTCTTAATATTTTGACTTTAACTCTGAACACAACCTAGCGTTACACTTAAATTTTAAATTTAAAATCAGATTTGACTATTAATTCCTTTATTTCTTCAAAACGATCACATCATTTATATAATAAGATATTAAACTCAATATGCACAATACAAAAAGTATATAAAATATTTTTAAGTGCACACTTTACAGTTCGAAACAATGTAAACTTTATGCAGAATTATAAAGAAATTATACATACTTAATAAGCAATATAGTACAAAATATACACAAGATCACTAGATATACCAAACACACTGTATATATCATATATATAAGTCATCACAATAATCACAATTGTCTGATAATGAAAATCCATTATGATTTCAGCTATTCTAACATACATTTTTTTTCTTTCTACTTAAATACTTAATCCAATAATGAATTTACGACATCAGTAACGTTTCATGGTTATTATATTTATTGTTAATCACACTGTAGTATCGGATTTTTTACCCAAAATTCTGTTTCAATTTTTAATTCGTCCCAACAATGTTCTCCAAAATGCCTTTTTAGCTTTAATGAGCTTATTTTTATCAGAACAGTTTTCGTCAGGCCATATAATAGGACGTATTTTATCCCAGTTTTTACGAATAAGCTTCGGAAATTCACTTCGTCTCATATCATTCATTAGAATAATGACATTCATATTTTCTCGTCCGTCTCGAAAAGAATACGCACTGGCTAGTTGCATTGCGAAAGTTTGCCATTCCCGCTTAAAATACTTGCAGCTTACAACAAAAATAGACTTGCGTGAGTTATCGATAGCGTTCATAATGTTGTCCCAAATGTGTAACCCTAGTTCGAAACTTTTGTCATCGATGCAGTATTCAACATCTTCCTGCTCCAGCCAAGGAACAAGTGTTCTAGTAACCCATCTTGCATCCTCGTTGCAGTAGATTATAAAGACATCGAATGGGAACACTTCATATTCCAAAGGCTGTCTACACCATACCCTCAATTTCACACTGTGTTTCCAAACCACTCTGGATAGAAAAGCCGTAAAAACGAAAACGATGATCATTATCATAGATATGATTAACCAGAATTGAGAAGCACACCTTTCCTTAAATTGACCAAATGTTTGAAGGAATGTCATCACCTTTATCTGACTGCCATCTGGTGTACTGCATAAAAGATTGTCTCTGTTATATAACATGTTTGTTGTGCCAACCCAATCAAGGAAGTCCAATACTTCACAGCTGCACACCAACGGGTTTCCAAACAGATTAACTTTGAATGCGGGAGATTTAGTTTGATGTGTATCCAGAAGTGCAATGTCTGATTTTGTCAACGTTAGTATGCGATTATGACTAACATCCAAAGTTTCTAGTGCATGGAGCTCCATTAGGATGTGCGTATGAAGGCTAATCAATTGATTTGAAGCAAAAATTAACGTTTTCAGTGAATATTGCTGATCTGCAAATATTATGGGGCTCAATAAATATATGTTATTGGCGGAGAGATCCAGGAAGGTGAGTTTGTACCTTCCTTTGAATAATAAATTGTTATCTTTGGCAAGCACATGTCCGAGGTTACATTGCTTTGCTTCTAATGTTAAGAGGTTGGGCATATCGGAAAACATTTCCGGGTTAGGATGTGAACACTCAAATCCTGACATGTAGAATTCTGTTAGATTGACCAAACCTTTTAAACGTCCATAAGAACATGACAGATGCCTAAGCGGGTAACTCACATCCAGGACTTTGAGATTGTTACTTTCATGAAGTGTTAAATTTACAAGCGATCCACCAATGGGGTTACGAGAAAAATTTAGATATATAAGAGAATGTGGTAGAAACAACGTTTGCTCCATAGACGCTGATGAACGTTTCCTAAATTTTATTGAACTTTGATCTGAAGCATATAAATGAGTTAAGGATGGAAACAACACAAGAAGGTAAAATATGTGTATGGACAGGAAATTATTTGAGGATATGTCTAATATTTCCAGGCATTTCCTATTAGGCCATGACAATATAGCGTCCATTTCTATTCCCTCTATATTATTCATACTAAGATCAATTTTTCGAACACAGATTGTGCGTAGATAAACGAAGTCAGATTTCATCAAAAATATACTACTGACAGATCGAAAGTAGTTATCTGTTAGTTCTAGATATTCCATTTTTCTCTTTTGTAATCCATAAAGTGTTTTCTGGACATCCCGAATGTTCATTGTTCGCCCCGAATGAAATTTAAGTGATACCAAATTGTGAAATGGTGCCAATGCGTTTATTTCGAACTTTTTCATTGAGAAATGTAAAACCAAATGAGATATTACTGTCCGTTCAAGTCCAAGGAATGTCGAATTTAGAACCGATATTCTTTCCTGTAAAACCACAGCAAAATTTATTTGTTTCAACTTGGTTAAATTCAAAAACCCAATTCCGAAACGAAATCCTTCGAAAACATCTATTTTTAGAGTTTCAACCTGTGACAAATACGCTATTGCATGCTCGGGGTAGGTTTCCTTTAAATGCAACCTATTTTGTCGTAGATCCAGGTGTGTCAAACGTATTAAAGGTTGAAAAGCAAACACATCAAACGATGAATTTTCGAGAAGGTTGTTGGATAAATCGAGGTATTTTAGGTTCTGCAAACCGTCAACTGCTCCTGACGAAATCATTGATAATCCGTTGGATGATAATATTAGTTTATTTAGTTGATGTAGATATCTTAATGAATCCTGACGTAATATTGTCAGGTTGTTGTTTTGTAGATTTAACTCAGTCGCTTTGATTGGCAAATTTTCAGGAACAGTTTGTAGACGACATCCTGAACACTTGACATGTACCACAGTTCCTATGGTGACGACATTACAGCAGCCATTCATTCCAGCTAAAACAAATACATGGAATGATTATCAACAACTTTATATATCTAAACCTATGGATTATTTATCATATTTAATCCTTCACATTTATTTTCATAAAGGAGATACAAATTCTGGAATTCTATCACGTCGTTGTTTTCCGTGACTTCATCCTGAACTTCATTTTAACAAACAATCAACACATCTAATATCTCTTCGTTCATAACAAGGTACACTTGACCAAATAGCAGACAGAGCAGATGATACACATAGCAACGATACTGTTCCCAATCTTGTGAACTATTAATAGCTTAAGCTAATAACATTGATGATTATAATATGTCTTGTGATCACCTAGCTTTATTATCTGTGATATACTCCTCAGCGTCATTTTCTTGTTTGGACTCGTGACGCCATGCTTAATACAAACGTTTACTTCTGAAAAATGATTAGTTTCGACTTCGTGGGCACAATTCAACTTTTTATTTCTGAGATCTACTACTTTTTGAGTTGCAATGCATTTGCATAGCAATCCAAACTGACGCTTATAAAATATATGGAAAAGAAACAGCTTTATAATACACAACCTGTAGGTTTGGCGCCGAAATAGAAAATATTCAATGACGTGATAATAAATGAATGTGTTTGCTGGTTTGGTGTAAAAAAATAATAACGTCCTATTTACAGCTAAGGTCATTTAAGGACGTGCCTCCATGTGTATAGTATATGCGTGCTTGCGTGTGTATATGCAGGAGACGGGGAATGTTAGTGTGCTTGCCTCCTTGTGAAAGCGCGGATCGGATGCCGACGTTATAGTGATATCTTACTGAAATACCATGCCGAAGACACCCAGCACAGCATTCCGCCCGGTCACATTATACTGACAACGGGTGAACCAGTTGTTGCCATCCCCCTAATTGCTGAACGTTAAGCAGGGAATAACAACTAGCATTTTTAAGGTATTTTTGGTATGTCCCGACCTGGGAACAGAACCCATTGCCATTGAAGTAAAAAGAAAGATAAAAATCCCAAATATTGCAATGGGTGCAGCAGATTTATTTTGATCGCTTTTATGTCTTCAAATAGTGGACACCAAAGCAAATGCCCAATTCTGCATGGGTTCATCACATTAGTCGCCGTCTTCGATACATGCAGTAGGTAACATCAGGTGTATTCTTTTCCCGATCCCCCAAGTGCAGGGGTGGACTTTGTTTGCAAATGTATTACAGAACACATAGGAATGTCACAAATACCCATGTTTGTGAAGGTATGTTGCTCTCTTAATTACCGTTATGACGGTATTGTCAGTTAATGTAAATGTTGTCAACCGGGAAGTTGATCGGATTTATTGGCACTATGTAAGATCAAATTACATGTATGTCTCTCGTTCATCGTTAAAGGTACTATGTTTGTGCAGTCATCAGCGACTTCATTTGTCATAATGTTATGCATGCATAATACACATAACAAAAAATAATTCATATAATTAATGCAATAATGCAAACCGATTTGGAAACTTCAGTATGTTTTACTTTCGATTTCTAAATTGTATCGGAATATAAACTGCATCACTACTAAGGGTTTCATCAATTAAAATTTCATAATATTTTTATGTATAAAAGAATTATGTTTATATGACATATCTGCCATCAAATTTCATATTTGTATTAATGTTGATATGTATTCCGAGTGTATTTTTGGCAATATATCATCAGAGTGTTTAAATACCATCAGATGTTTGTGTCATCGGTGTTTATAACAGATAACAGTGGATACCTGAAGTTTAGACATACATAGCAGTAACGTAATCTGGTGAAAGGGTATACAGGGCTCACATTAAGGAAACATTCTGTGTCGTCAATTTGATTTGCTATGAAAATATTGTGTCGCCAAACTGAGATTTTATGTCGTCATCTTTTGTCGCGCTCACGACTTTTAGTGTATTTTTCAGATAATAATTGATCAAGAACTAATCCACTATGTATTCAATCTAATTGCTCCATTTGTTTAATGTTTATTATTAGCATAATGCTTGTTCACCAGAAAAGACAACAGTGTTTTCCATGTTTCTGTTTTTCATTTTTATCTTCTATAATACTTTATTTTGTATTCAATTTTCTATATCAATTCATCAATGCTTAAATAAGATCTTCAGACCAAACAATAATGATTATACTACATTTAATTTTCAAACATTTTGAAATCCCTTCATAATATAGGTATACATCTTTTGGACATAAACACTACTGTCAATACTGTCTTATTATTTTGCTGAGCACCAAAGTCACTTGAGGACCAACAGTTTAACTCAAATTTTTGCGTCACAATATTGTTATCATCATCACCTCAGAATTTATATACCTTAACCACGCCTGTTTATTGCCCATTTTCGGTTAAATATCTGTCATTTTTCGGGGAGATTGTTTGAGGAAAACATCACTGGGTGTCAATATATAATTCGTTTGCGCAATTGCTGTAGACTTTGTCGGTTCCAGTATCTAGGCCTAATACTAAGTGGGTATGGAAAAAAACAAAAGACAGTTTAGCAAATTCCGATGCCAGGGAATCGCTGATCAACTTATGTTTCGATATCTCTGTTTATTTTGCCCATTATTATGAAGTAGTAATTTTTAATTATAGGTTCCTTACCATGTACGTTATGTTGTATTTTTTTTAAACCTTCATTTTAATTCTTTCAAGTAGATTTGAAGAGGATGTATTGAATGTTCACGCTTCAAGTATAAACACGTTTTATGTAATCCCTTTTGGTGAGTTAAAACAACACGGTCCCTCGAACGCGACTGCAAATAATTTTAATTGAATTTCAGTAGAGCTATTGTTAATCGGTAATAACAGATAGAGTGTTAGCTTATTACTGCATTGTAATTTTGTATTTACTGTGATGTTGAGAAGTGTCAAAAAGGTTTCGCTGAATCATGTCGATCCTACCTGGTCTATTGTCCGGGACCAATAGGAGGAGTCGGTGGTTGTGCCCTCCGATCAATGTACCCGTAAAAATGTTACCTGTTCCCAGCTAGATAATTATTTTAACGCGTTCGTACTGGGAAGTTATTACTCAGTCATGGAAAACACTAATACCTTCGAGTTGGGACAGACTATGTGTAACAACATATTTATTAGAAGTATATTTCATGTTGGAGTTTTTCGCAATTATTTTGAATATACTTTGTATATTAATACAACTTATATGACTTAAACAAGTTTAAAAATAGTCACTTATCACACTACCGTTCCTACAGTATTGTCATCGTTCTTCATATGTTATCAGATACATTAATCGCGGATCTTGAGACTGTCACTTGATGCTTACAATTTATTTCAGCCTTAGATATAGATATTTAATATTCATAGCGCAGATACTCAAATATCATAGCTGACACCACACTGTTCTCAAAAGTAAAGGATGTCTGATTCACAGATTCTGTTGATCTTTTGATGATTTTATATCACCATAATATACCAGAGTTTAGGAATACTTTGCATATCGATTTAAAACATTTCAATAAAAGTAACTTGTTTCTTTTTGACCTAAAGTCATCAGATGCCTTCAATCATTATTGAAACTATTGCCACGTCATCACTAAAGTGAGATTGACCACGTTATCTCTGACGAAATAGCTACCACGTCATAGCTGAAATTAAAGCTAAATTTTAGTTACCTGTCTTTACTGAAGTAAATGTTACTACTTCATTACCAAGATACATGTTACCTATAGTTACTAAAGGAAAACCTATAACGTCCTCATGTTAGTACACTGACTTCATTTTTACTAATGAAGTGATATTTAATCACTGAAGGAGAAGTTACCTGTTGTTGTACAAATATTTACAATACAACATGACACAAAACTGTAGCATATGTAAACACCTACTGTTGGTATCACAGACTAAAACATTACCTGTAATGTGGAACATGGCGAGAGAGCAGATGATGTACACCACGATGTTGTTCGCCATCTTGTGAAGTGTTGGTAGCTTGAATGTATAGCATTGGTATCGTATGTTCTACTCCCTAACATACATGTAGGAGTGTTTCTTTCTATTAGGTCAATCAAGGGCCTTACGCAGTCGTGTGGAACGAAATTGCACATACATTCTTTCCACCATGTATTATTGCCACCCATTTTTAGAAAAGGATTGCTGAGAAAGTGAACAAAACCAAGAAGTTTTATAGGTTATTCTGAATAAAATGACTTTAACTCTGAACACAAAGCAGTTTATCACTTAACTTTTAAGTTTATAATTAGGTTTGACTATTTACTTATATATATTTCCAAAACTATCACATCACATACCTAATTAGATACTGAACTAAATATGCACAATACATATAGTATATAAATATATTTATAAGTACACACTTTAACAGTTGGAAAGAATGTAAACTTTACAGACAAATATGATTTAGCAGAAAATTGTGATTTTTTTGATGACTGTGTATATAATATATATACAGTGTGTTTTGTATATCTAATGTCAAGTTTTATCAACGTAACATTAAA